AACTGTGCATGTTGCCATATGATGGGCAGTTGATAATGTTGTAGTATTTGGTGCTCTGAAAGAGTGAATTGAATGATAATCATCCAAGTTAAAACAAAATAATTTTCCTGACTATAAATACACAAAAGTATTAGTAATATTTAAAAATTATATTTAATAATTTATACATATATTAAATTATTAATTACATTATATAATAAATAGTCATTAATTTTATTAGGGTGATCAGTTTCAATTTTTTGTTTAAATCTTTCTACAGTCTTGTGACTTACTGATCTACCCATTTTTGACAATATGTCTATTGATTCAACTGTTGCTCCAGATGATGATAAGTATAATCCAATTTCAAGTTGTAAAGAATTAATAAACTTATTTCTCAAACCAGCTAACAAGTAACAAAATACAACAACATTTTTTTTAGCATTCTCCTTATTAAATTCAGATCTATTAGTTGGCACAAACATTTCAATTAATTCATCAAAAAATCCAATTAATATAGGTTGATATTTTTCGATTATTTTAAATTTATCTGGATTTAATTCAAGATTTGAATTAAAATCCCTTTGAAGATAAATTAAAGAATCAGATAAAATTTTAATTTTATAACTGAATTTATTAGATTTACTAATTTGATTATTTCTATAAACATTCGATTCTGACTCCATATTAGATATTTTCTGCAGTAAAAGATCAAAAATATCTTTTGTTAAATTTGGTTTATCATTTGCCATATCAACTTTTATATCTGACCAACTTTCAAAATTATTTGAAGAATTATCATTTTTATTTTTTAATAAATCAGATAAATTAGTTTGGTAAAAATTTGATATTTTTTTTTTTTAACATTCCTGTCTGGCTCTACAATCATTAAATAATGTTTAAGACATATTTTATCACCAATATTTAGATAATTATACATAGTTAGTGTCTCTTTTTCTTCAGATTTTTTTTTGGCACCAGGTGTAAATGTTCTGATATCTTTGTTTGACTCACAATCCAAAACTTGACAATAATTTATATTTTGAGACATTTTTTAATAATAATAGGAATTTTGATTGTTGTAAAAGAGATAATATTTATTAAATAATTTTTATGTAATAATTTTAATTAATATTTATAATTTATATATACTCTTTTTTATTAATAAAATTCAACTCAAGGTAATAAAATACTATTTTTAGTTTCAACCTTTAAAATTTTGTTTTTGTAAAAGATCTTCAAGCCAATAAAATTTGATTTTTGTGTGATTGTTTGGAGGGTGATCGTCATAAAATTTAGCCAATGAAATCAAAATCACAATGTGAT